CCTTTTTAATGTGGGCATTCCTGAGCCATTGGGCTCGGCCAAAAAAGCCCATTTGAACCCGTATAAACGGGTTCAGGGCCGGTTTTACCTCCCCGAAGGAGACTCCGCCCTTCGGCGTAGCCTCCTTCGGGTTCCTCCCGCCCGTAGGAAGAGAGTTCAAACCAAGCAGTCTGTTCAGAGGTGAACGACTGACTGACGATATTCAGTCACCCCCCCCACGAGGGTGTCATGTGGCACAAGGCCTTTTTAACGTGGGCATTCCCGAGCCATTAGGCTCGGCCAAAAAATAGCCCATTTGAACCCGTATAAACGGGTTCAGGGCCGGTTTTACCTCCCCGAAGGAGACTCCGCCCTTCGGCGTAGCTTCCTTCGGGTTCCTCCCGCCCGTAGGAAGAGAGTTCAAACCAAACAGTCTGTTCAGAGGTGAACGATTGACTGACAATATTCAGTCACCCCCCACGAGGGTGTCATGTGGCAAAAGGCCTTTTTTAACGTGGGCATCTTGAGCCATTAGGCTCGGCCAAAAATAGCCCATTTGAACCGGTATAAACGGGTTCTGGGCCGAGTTTTACCTCCCGAAGGAGACTCCGCCTCGGCGTAGCCTCCTTCGGGTTTCTCCTGCCCGTAGGAAGAGAGTTAAACCGAGCAGTCTGTTCAGAGTTGAACGACTGACTGGCAATATTCAGTCACCCCCCCCCACGAGGGTGTCATGTGGCACAAGGCCTTTTTAACGTGGGCAATTCCTGAGCCATTAGGCCCGGCCAAAAAATAGCCCATTTGAACCCGTATAAACGGGTTCAGGGCCGGAGGTCTCCCGAAGGAGACTCCGCCCTTCGGCGTAGCCTCCTTCGGGTTCCTCCCCGCCCGTAGGAAGAGAGTTCAAACCGAACAGTCGGTTCAGAGGTGAACGACTGACTGACGATATTCAGTCACCCCCCACGAGGGTGTCATGTGGCACAAGGCCTTTTAACGGGCATTCCTGGAGCCATTATCGGCCAAAAAATAGCCCAGTTGTACCCGTATAAAAAGGGTTCTGGGCCGATGACCTCCCGAAGGAGACTCCGCCCTTCGGCGTAGCCTCCTTCGGGTTCCCCCGCCCGTAGGAAGAGAGTTCAAACCAAGCAGTCTTGTTCAGAGGTGAACGACTGACTGACGATATTCAGTCACCCCCCCACGAGGGTGTCATGTGGCACAAGGCCTTTTTAACAATTCCTGAGCCATTAGGCTCGGCCAAAATAGTTCCATTTGAACCCGTATAAACGGGTTCAGGGCCGAGTTTTACCTCCCCGAAGGAGACCCGCCCGGCGTAGTTCCTTCGGGTTCCTCCCGCCCGTAGGAAAGAGAGTTCAAACCAAGCAGTCTGTTCAGAGGTGAACGACTGACTGACGATATTCAGTCACCCCCCACGAGGGTGTCATGTGGCACAAGGCCTTTTTAACGTGGGAATTCCCTTTTGAGCCATTAGGGCCAAAAATAGCCCATTTGAACCCGTATAAACGGGTTCAGGATCGGTTTTACCTCCCGAAGGAGACTCCGCCCCGGCGTAGCTTCCTTCGGGTTCCTCCCGCCCGTAGGAAAGAGTTCAAACCAAGCAGTCTGTTCAGAGGTGAACGATTGACTGACAATATTCAGTCACCCCCCACGAGGGTGTCATGTGGCACAAGGCCTTTTTTAACGGGAATTCCGGGAGCCATTAGGCCGGGCCAAAATAGCCCATTTGAACCCGTATAAACGGGTTCTGGGAGTTTAACCTCCCGAAGGAGACTCCGCCCTTCGGCGTAGCCTCCTTCGGGTTCCTCCCGCCCGTAGGAAGAGAGTTTAACCGTGCAGTCAGTTCAGAGGTGAACGACTGACTGACAATATTCAGTCACCCCCCACGAGGGTTTCATGTGGCACAAGGCCTTTTTAACGTGGGAATTCCCGAGCCATTAGGCTCGGCAAAAATAGCCCATTTGAACCCGTATAAACGGGTTCTGGGCCGGTTTAACCTTCCCGAAGGAGACTCCGCCCTTCGGCGTAGCCTCCTTCGGGTTCCTCCCCGCCCGTAGGAAGAGAGTTTAACCGTGCAGTCAGTTCAGAGGTGAACGACTGACTGACAATATTCAGTCACCCCCCACGAGGGTGTCATGGCACAAAGCCTTTTTAACGTGGGGAATTCCCGAGCCATTAGGCTCGGCCAAAAATAGCCCATTTGAACCCGTATAAACGGGTTCTGGGCCGAGTTTAACCTCCCGAAGGAGACTCCGCCCTTCGGCGTAGCCTCCTTCGGGTTCCTCCCGCCCGTAGGAAGAGAGTTTAACCGTGCAGTCAGTTCAGAGGTGAACGACTGACTGACAATATTCAGTCACCCCCCACGAGGGTGTCATGGCACAAGGCCTTTTTAACGTGGGAAAGGCCCCATTTGAACCCGTATAAACGGGTTCTGGGCCGGTTTAACCTCCCGAAGGAGACTCCGCCCTTCGGCGTAGCCTCCTTCGGTTCCTCCCGTAGGAAGAGAGTTTAACCGTGCAGTCAGTTCAGAGGTGAACGACTGACTGACAATATTCAGTCACCCCCACGAAACGGGCATTCCCCGAGCCATTAGGCCCGGCCAAAAAAGCCCATTTGAACCCGTATGAACGGGTTCAGACCTCCCGAAGGAGACTCCGCCCTTCGGCGTAGCCTCCTTCGGGTTCCTCCCGCCCGTAGGAAGAGAGTTTAACCGTGCAGTCAGTTCAGAGGTGAACGACTGACTGACTCCCTGTCTACTCCTGAGGCGCAGTATTTATTAAGTATGGAATAGTCCATTATTATTATTATGGTTAAGGTCCCATAACACCAGGAAACTAAACAGCAGACCTTCTTCGGTCGGAAACAGGAGTGAGGAAGCCCGTTAATTTAGGAGAACTAAGGGAAAAGAAGGTCACAAATTTTGTTTGAGGCAATTTAACATCTGTTTAGTCTCTTAAGAAATGTTTTCGGATTATATGCGCGCAGTCGTGCACATTAGACTTGATTTATTCTAGTAATATCCGGCAACACCAAAATTTCGACTGTCCTGAGTATGACGATAAACTATATCCGGCAGCAAAGCCTCTGACGGGGAGGTCTAGAGGAATGTAAAAACCACCTCTTCCTAGATCCACCCTGACCTGAGGTAGTTGCACCTGTTATGGTCCCAGCTACGGGAAATTGTTAAACCCAAACTGAAGTCAAAACATTATGAAAGCATAAAAATAGATGTTTATATAAAAAAAATACAAGGAATATATTTTTGAAAAAAAATATATTACCATTAATAAATTTAACTGTCGACAAAAACCCCTCTTTACTAAAAAACGCCAATGGGACCTGATCTACAAATTGATTTCTTACTAAGTATATATATTCTATTCATACGAACCTATCCTAATCATCTTCTCGGCATTAAATAACCCATTGAGGTTGGTAAATCGTAAAATCAAATAAACCAGGCCAACAAAAGCAAAAATTCCACTTTACTTTATCCAGGAATATTTACTCCTCATTTAGAAAAAAAATTGTGTCAACACAGAACAGAGGCTTTTCTATTAATATATATATATATATATATATATATATATATATATATATATATATATATTGAGGCACAATTTTTCATTAATGCATGTTTCATTAAATAATATAGACAAGTTTTTTCTGTTTATTTTAAGTAAGTTCCTTTCATATTGACTGATAAGCTTAATAACATTATCATTGAAAGACGAAAGGAAATCACCATATTGATACATGTTTAAGAATAGTTGTATTTTCAACAATGATTATCCGGAATTAGAAATTGTAACATTTTTAGGCATTTAAAACAACATTCCTGGCTGTGTACACAATTCCGGAAAAATCCTCGTTGAAAATACAACTATACTTAAACATGGAAACAATAAACAAAAATTTAAAAAAAATTAAGCTTATATATATGAAACTGTTGAAACCTAACCTGAACAAAATAAACTACGAAATTTCCACAAATATTCTTAAATGCCTAAAATTGATAACAGAAACCATTGGTTTATACTAACGGCTTCCCATACTTAATACTTCTCGTTTTCACCCTCGCGTGGTCATGCGTGACGTCACGAGCTGCGACGCGATTTTTGCTTCCGCGTCTCGTATATACGAGTTTGTCGTTGCTTTGAAATTTTTCATGCAACACAAACAGACTATCATTATTGTTTCGTACGTGTATTGGTTGATATATTGAAAAGTAATTGTCATCTTTGATAATGGCTTATGTAAGCCGAAAGCTTAGATTGGATTTAAACATGTATCAATATGGTGATTTCCTTTCGTCTTTCAATGATAATATTATTAAGCTTATCCGACAATATGAAAGGAATTTGCATAAAATAAACAGAGCAAAACTTGTCTATATTATTTAATGAAACATGCATTAATATATATATATATATATATATATATGACTTTCAAACTGGCCCCACCATACAATCCAGAATCTTACGGACCTGATAGACTTTAAAGAAGAAAGAAGAACTTACTCGACTGTAGACGTGTCTGTGGTAGCAGACAAAAGGGCGAGGATGAAAGAAAGCAAAACATTTATAAAATATCAGAGTCTATCTCTGTAACCGAGAAATACTTAGGATCGTTCCCGTAAGAGTTGGCACACCTGAGACTGGGCTAATAATATAATAACACTAACATTGGATGAGTAAGAGATTCAAGAAAGAATTAAAACGTTTCACAACGTTCTGATGCTGGTGACTGTAAAGTTTTTGAAAGTTGCTGGCGATTTCAAGAAAGTCGTTAAAAACTCGACTTCAGCGTAAGAAACAAGAGTCCATCTTGAAAATGCATTATTATTATTATTATTAGTAGTAGTAGTAGTAATAATAATAATAATAATAATAATAATAATGACTAGTAGTACCATAAATTTACCATAAATTTAACGGCTTTCTTATCCGAAATTTACGGCTTTCCTTCTCCGAATTTATTTCTTTATTTTCCATGACATCTTTATTTCCATGACATCTTTCTTTTTTTCTCTATTCGCTTATTTCTTTCACTGTTTCCTTTCTATCCTTTCTTTTTTTTCTTTTTCTTCAATTCTTTTATTTCTTTCTTTAGTTTTCTCACTATTTTTCCTTACTCTCAATTTGTTCATTTGTTCTTTCGCTCATTTTTCTTCCTCACTTTATTTTTATCTCTTCACTAAAAAGAAGTAGACTCTCTGATATGTCTTTTCCGCCTTTCCACGCGATCAAACCGCAACTGTCCATTAAACCTGAGGTCTTGGCATGGCGTCACGTAAGTAACTAAAGAAGAGACAATAATAATAAAAATAATAATAATAAAAGAAATAAAAATAATAGTAATCACGCCGTAGTCATTAAATTTTCACGGTTTGCTCGTTTATTTTTCTGATGAATCAGAATACTTAATGTAATTATTGAATAAGCTCCTTACGATTATCAGGGGAATACTCGCAGAAATTCTTCTATTGCTGTCGTCATCGCCTTCTATTTGTTCTCATTCTATCGTTCTTTCTTTCTTTTTCTCGTTAAAACCAAACATCTTCTCTGGTATGTCTTTGTCTATCCACGCAATAAAAAGGAAACGTTCAATTACTTATGTGAGGTTATATCAGGGCGAAATTCATGACGAATGAAGCAAAAAGCATTATAACAACAACAACAACAACAATAATAATAATAATAATAATAATTACTATTATTATTATTATTATTATTTGTGAAATCCCATGCCTTTAATCCTCGTTGAAAACACAACTATACTTAAGCATGTAAACAATAAACAAAAATTTAAAATTTTTGAAGCTATATACATGAAACAGTTGAAACCTAACCTGAACAAAATAAACTACGAAATCTCCACAAACATTCTTAAATGCCTATAATTGATAACAGAAGCCATTGGTTTATACCAAGTGCTTCCCATACTTAATAATTCTCGTTTTCACACTCGCGTGGTCATGTGTGACGTCACGAGCTGCGACGCGAATTTTGCTTCCGCGTCTCGTATATACGAATTAGTCGTTGCTTTGAAATTTTTCATGCAACACTAAAATATACTCACAAGTACAGCTTATAAGAGTTTATCTATGTAAAATCTCTGCGATCTTAGATTTGTTTTGTTTTTGTTTGTTTTTAATTATGAAATTTTTATGAAGATATTTCTAGCCTTAGAACTCTGGTTTGAACCCGGAAGGAAATATGTATACAATAGAAATCAAAAGAAATAATAATAATAATAATAATAATAATAATAATAATAATAATAATAATATCTTCAAAGTCTATCAAATACAAGGACACTGAAATCGAAATTTTAGAACTGTGGCACATGTGGACATCAACAATTACTTTTGTAGTTGGAACCCTCGGATTGATTGGAAAAGATTATTATAGACTCATTGAAGGAATCCCTGGTAGCCCATGCCTTAAAGAAATACATTAAAAAATGTACTCACAAGTACAGCTCAAAGGGGTTTATCTATCTAAAATATATGCGATTTTTTTTTTCAAAACTGCTCATTGGAAAATTTCATGATGCCATTTCTGACCTTGGGTCTTCAGTCCGAATCCGGAAAGAAATGAGCATACAACAAATACCAAAAGAAATAAAGCAATAACAATAATGATCTTAATTTATTGAAGGTTTTAATTTTAACTTTTAAGACCAGCTACGTTAAATTCAGTCCCACAAATAAGCTTGTGGCCAACCTGATCGTAACAAGTTGAATGTGATAGAGAGATGACGAATTACGTTCATGAGCGTGAGTAGTCGGGGAGAATGATAGCCGGATGTTGAAAGTGAGGCTTTTCTATGTCTGAGTGATGAGGCGGCTTGGGAATCACATGCGGATAATAGGGAACAGCGTTAGTCAGTGACGGTCTCAGCGAACTCCGTTACCTGATCTAAAGGTGATTAAAAAAAAGGTACCTTGCCTGCAAGTTTATGCACTGCTTTTATAAAATAAATTGTAAGCATATCACCCACATTTGACTGTCCTGCGTGTGTCTGGTATACCCTGAATATCATGATGTGACTATTTGCTGCCATATATGTGTATCCTAGCGTCACTTTATCGGTGTGCTGCACATGAAAACAACAACAATAAGAACAACAACAACAAAAATAATAATAATAATTTGTGTGGTGGTGGGTAGAAAATTTTATTAATATGTACAATGACTAAAAAACTGGGTAGCGAGAAAATAAAAAAAAATACTACTAGGGAATCAGCAAGATAGATTACAAAGAGATTCCATTTAGTACCAGGCGTTATTCCATCTGCTTTCAGAGCGAAGCAAGGTGAATGTTTATTCTATGTGCGCATATTTTTATCCTCGAATTGACCTGAAGAGCGAGGATCAATAACCAGATTAAAATGTGTGTGATCTTAGGTTAAGAAAAAAGTAGGGGAAAATGTCATGAAGCCTTTCTGGCCTTAAGTCGCTGGTTGGAACCCAGAAAGAAATGTGTATCCAAGAGAAATCAAAGCGGAAATTAATAATAATAATACTTAAAAAAGACAGCAAAGACGAATGCAACCGACCAGCTACAGAAGCGATGGCAAGATAAACCGCTTCATGGCCAATACCTTGCCCGTACCAAACAAGATGGCGTAGACAAAACCCGTACCCATCAGTGGCTACATAGTGCAGGGTTGAACGTTGAAACTGATGGTTTTATCTTTGCTGCACAGGACCAATGCTAGCTAACTAGGAATTATCAAGCACATATACTAAAATATTGTGCCAGCAATTCTGTGATAAATATCCAGAAACAATTGATCATCTTGTATCAGGTTGCACGATATTGGCACCTACTGAATATAAAACCCGACATGACAGAGTGGGCCAATATCTGCACTGGAAAATCTGCAATTTCTACGGGAATGAAAAGTGAAAGAAAATGGTATGAACACCACCCAGACCCGGTTACGGAGATAGGACAAGTTACAATTCTATGGGACTACACAATACACACTGACAGAACAATCAAAGCCAACCGCCCAGATATTGTTATTAAAGACCACAAACAAAAAGTGCCTCCTTATTGATATGGCAGTCCCTGCTGACTGCAATGTATCTTTGAAGATATTCAAAACTCTGTCAAAATACAAGGACCTTGAAATAGAAATTTCGAAAATGTGGCATATGGGAACATCAACAATCCCTGTTGTAGTTGAAGCCCTAGGACTAGTTGGAAAAGATTGCAGTAGACTAATTGAAGGGATTCCTGGAAGTCCATGCCTCAAGGACATACAAAAAATTGTTCTGACAAGTACAGCCCACACTTTACGAAGGGCTTTATCTATGTAATATATATTTATTTTTTATTTGTCAGTGGAAAGTGTCATGATGCCATTTCTAATCTTAGGTCCCTGGGCGGGACCCAGAAAGAAATGTGTAAACGCCAGAAATCAAAGAAAATAATAATAATAATAATAATAATAATAAAAAACAAAAAAGAAGTATTTTTTTCTTCAGTTCGTATATTGTCTGGTCTTTGAAATGAATAATATCACTTATCACTTATTGTAAAATAGATGACACCAATATTCCGTCTTTTTCTTCAGCCAGTTTTCATGCTAATTTCAATAATGCAACTGGCTGAATAGTCACACCTTTTTTTTTAATCATTTCACCACGAGTAAGGCAATAATGCCATTAAGACGCAAGGGGGTTACTGGGGGAGAAAAGAGAATGAAAAAACTTTAGTGACGAGAAAGAACAATACAAGAATAGTTATCAAGAAGGTAGTATATAGAAATTTGCGTTGTATTTAAATTTTGGAAGATTGTAGGCAACCGGAGAACAGTTCCACAAACGAGAAGTGCGAGAAAAAAACTGTTAGAATAAAACTTATTATTATTATTATTATTATTATTATTGTTGTTGTTGTTGTTGTTGTTGTTAGCACACACAGCACCCGCTTCAGTATATTCCTTTCTTCCCGTTCTTCCCTTTCTTCTTCGTTTTCGTGAGTCCTAGTGTGCGGTAAGGTAGCAAATATATGCATTCTCCTTGCACAAATTCTGATCTTAAGTGATACTTAACACGCAGTTTTTCCTATCTTTTTTACATGGACAAAACTCAGACGATTCAATACAATCAGCTGGAGGTTCTTCACGAAATCTATGAAGGATCTCTAATGTAATCGATCCTGATTTGGCACGCTGATTTCAGTCACTTTCTCACCGAAGTGAAATGGCTTCCTTGTCTTGTCTACAAATATTTTATAAGGAATTTCATTGAGAAGATTTAAGCTGGTGCTCCGACTCCAGGAATTTGTTAAATTGGCATTCATGTCCCATCCGTTTGCTGTTGAAATAGTTCAATTCAACCGCCACTTCTACTCCAACAGATTCTTTTCTCACACTTCCCACCTGTGAGACTTCATTTCATTTACTTGCCTCCATGAGAAATACAATCTTCAAAAATTTAAATGCAATTCCAATAGTCATCTTCTATCTTCTTGAATACTATTATTCTTTTGTCCTTTTTTCAATCATCCCTATATTAGTATTTACTTTCAATTTAACTCTGTTTAACCTTCTGTGTACTTGTGGCATTCCCGCCTTGCTTGCGGGGGATGAGTACGAAAAATCCAATTTTTTCATCTCCTATTCACACGCGCAAACAGGTTTCCCATTATTATCGGAATAGCAGTATTTTTTGAAGATCCCAACAATACTCTAGTAGATTACAGAGTTGGTTCGTGAATTTGGTGACATAGTAAATGTGAGTTCAATCCCTGGGTCGGGCAATGTGTATTTGAACTCGGTGGAAACGTGGCGAACAATAACTGAGCTGTAAGCACCAGAGGAGATATCATCAGATATGATCAGCGGAATGAGAATAGCTTACATGATGGAGTAATGGACAGCGGCTCGGAGTGAGGAATCGGAGAGTCTAGTTCGAATTCGAGTCGGATCCATTAAATCCTCTTGGAATATCCTTCTTCTCCTAGTTATGGACAAATAGCAGGAGAGAATGGGTCCTATAGCCTTGGGTGGAACCGTTCTAGGAGAAGGTAACACTGAACCTAAAACGGGAGAGGGTTAGGCTCCATGAGAGCATCTTGACCAAGATCTTACCTACATGTACTGCGTCTGCAATACACGAGGGGCCCCTACGATCATGATGTTTCGCAGATTAAATAATGGGTTCAATTCGAGGTCACCCGAATCGGCGTGCACCTTATAAAAGCTAGAAAGAACGGTGGCAGTAAGGTTTTGATAGTAAAAAAAAGATGAGGATAACAGTCCTGATATATAATTACTGTAAATAACGTATTTTTTAACTTTTTCGATTATTATTATTATTATTACTATTATTATTATTAATAATAAAATAAATAATAATAATAATAATAATAATAATAATAATAATAAGTGCAGGGTTGAAAGCGGAAACTGAAGGTTTTATCCTTGCTGCGCAGGACCAATGCTTGCTAACTAGGAATTATCAAGCACATATACTAAAATATTGTGTCAGCCCAAAATGCAGATTCTGTGATAAATATCCAGAAACGATTGATCATCTTGTAGCAGGTTGTACGGTGTTGGCACCCACTGAATATAAAACCCGACATGACAGAGTGGGCCAATATCTGCACTGGAAAATCTGCAACTTCTACGGGAAGAAAACTGAAAGAAACTGGTATGAACACCACCCAGACCCGGTTACGGAGATAGGACCTGTTACAATTCTATGCGGCTACACAATACACACTGACAGAAAAATCAAAGCCAACCGCCCAGATATTGTTATTAAAGACCACAAACAAAAACGGTGCCTCCTTATTGATATGGCAGTCCCTGCCGACTGCAATATATCTTTGAAGATATTCAAAAAGTTGTCAAAGTACAAGGACCTTGAAATAGAAATCGCGAAAATGTGGCATATGGGAACATCAACAATCCCTGTTGTAGTTGGAGCCCTAGGACTGGTTGGAAAAGATTGCAGTAGACTAATTGAAGGATTCCTGGAAGTCCATGCCTCAAGGACATACAGAAAATTGTTCTGACAAGTACAGCCCACACCTTAAGAAGGGCTTTATCTATGTAATCAATTTTTTTTTTTTTTTTGTCAGTGGAAAGTGTCATGACGCCATTTCTAACCTTAGGTCCCTGGGCGGGACCCGGAAAGAAATGTGTAAACGCCAGAAATCAAAGAAAATAATAATAATAATAATAATCATGTATTAGATTTACATAAAATCTTCTGGTAGTTAACGCGCCAGATTAAATTACAAATCTTGTATCATTTCAAGAAATATTCGGGATACATCAAGAAGTTGGCCAGGATATATAAAAAAAAAATAATTGTGAAACAAAATTGATGGGGGAGGTGACTTCACTAGTTGGAGAACTTGGTACCGTGCAAGAATATATTAGAATCAAGAGTGGATTAATTAGAGATTCGAGAAAGATTTGAGCTTGTCTGTACCACAGCAGTGTTGCGGTATGCAAACATGGCAACAAAGTTGATGACGAACAGACATTTTTTATTGATACACGAATGCATAAACTGCAATAATAATAATAATAATAATAATAATAGTAATTTATAATAATTATAATAATAATATCCAAGAACCAAAAACTCTAATATCATGGATGTTGCCATAGCAAATGGCACAAATATAGCAAAGATAAAATACAGCAAACGTAAAATAAAGTAATAGCAAATAATGTTTATTTTGGGGAAAGCGTTGTTTGTCTGTGGTCCTTATTGTGACTTGACAGATAACTCAAAATACTCGGTATATTGAAAAATATATATATATATATATATATATATATTGTCATCAGGTAATAAAACACAATAATAATAATAATAATAATAATTATAATTAGTACTCAAAAATACAGGCTACGCGAAATGAAGGACTGGGATCATGTTTCTTTCTTAAAAAATGCTCAGAAAAAATTGTCATGATACCATTTCTGATTTTGGGTCTCTAGTTGTGTTCCGGAAAGAAATGAACATACACAAGTCAAAGGAATAATACTAATACTACTACTACTACTACTACTTCTACTACTACTACTACTACTACTACTAATAATAATAATAATGATAATAATAATAATAATAATAATAATAATAATAAGAAGAAGAAGAAGAAGAAGAAGAAGAAGAAGAAGAAGAAGAAGAAGAAAACTCTTTGCCAAAAGGCGAAAATGAGTTGAAGAGCCTCCTCAATATTATAAAATGTTTCAGTGACGACAGAGTTATGGACTTCGTATTAGATAAATGTGCAAAAGTAATATAAAAGAAAGGGAAAAATTACAGAAACCCCCTCAAAAGATTTAGACTCTGTTAGGGAACTGGAACAAGATGAAGCTTGGTATTTAGCGAAGGTTTTGGTATACTACATATCCAAATGAAGTGGGAGTTAAGAAAGTAGTACTACAGGCGTTTGCGTCTGGTACTGAAGACTCAAAAAACCAGAATATCAGCCATAAACACCTTGGCAGTCCCTGTGGTGCAATATAGCTTTATCATCCTTAAATGGACGACAGCTGTCATTAAGCGAATGGATGCCCAAAAGAGAAAGCTTCTCACTTGATACCGCACGCATCATCCCAAAGCTGATTTTGATCGTCTGTATGCGCCCAGATTCGAAAGAGGCAGCGGATAATTTGAACTAGAACTGTCCTACAAAACTACAACAATTGGCCTACAAAGATACCTGGAAACTACAGAAGACTGGATGATGATCTGAGTCAAAAACATGAAACAAGTAAGGATGGCATTTTTTTTTGAAGGCTTAATAAAGGATAGCAACAGGTTCAAAATAGAGTTTCAAATGGATGATGAAATGCAAGCAAAACATAATGCACCAACTGTAGATGCAAGACAATTAAAGCAAAAGCAAATGCCATCGACGAGATACAGAAACGATGGCAGGATAAACCTCGTCGAAGTAAATATGCTGCTCGTACCAAGCAATAACATGTAAACAAACCCCGTGCCTATCAGTGGCTATGTAGTGCAGGATTAAAAGCTGAAACCAAAGGTTTTATCGTTTCTGCACAGGGCCAATGCTTGCTAACTAGAAATTGCCAAGCACATATACTGAAACATTATGTTAGCCCCAAATCCAGATTCTGTGATAAATATCCAGAAATTCCTGACCATCTTGTATCAGTTTCAACGATATTGGTACCCAGTGAATATAAAACCCGACATGGCAGAATGGGCCAATATCTGCATTGGAAAATCTGTAACATTTACAGAAAGGAAACTGCAAGAAATTGGTATGAACACCACCCAGACTCGGTTACAGAGATAGGACCTGTATGAATTTTATGCGACTTCACAATTCACACACGCACACAGACATAATGATCAAAGTTAACTGCCCAAAGATCGTGTTTGGAGACCTCAAAGACAAAATATGCCTTCTTATTGACATGGTAGTCTCTGCAGACTGTAATGTAGATTTGAAAAACTTCAAAAAAATATCAAAGTACACGGATTTTGAAATCAAAATCTCAAAAATGTGGCACGTGGACATCAACAATTCCAGTTGGAGTTGGAGCCCTCGGATTGATTGGAAACATTGAAGGGATTCCTGGCAGCCCATGCTTTAAAGAAATACAAAAAATGGTACTCACAAGTACAGTCCACTCCTTAAGAAGGACTTTATCTATGGGAAATATGTTTGATCTTAGGTTTTTTACTTTGTTATTTTTTTCCCCTGACAAAATGCACAGTGGAAAATATCTGATGCCCTCTCTTGTTGGGACAGAAAGAAATGAGTATACACCTGAAATCAAGGAAAATGAACTGCTACTGCTACAACTACTATTACAATTAATAATAATAATAATAATAATAATAATGATAATAATAATAATAAACTATCAAAATACAAGGATCTTAAAATCGAAATCTCAAAAATGTAGCAACAGGGGACAAGAACAATTCCACTTATAGTTGGAACGCTGGGTTTTTATATGAAAAAAGTTCCGATAGTCTTACTGAAAGAATCTCTGGTGGTTCAAGCAAAAAATTGTACTCATAAGTATAGCTTAGACCTTACGAAGGGTTTTACCTATTTTTAGTTTTATTTCGATGTTTTTGTGTTTTTGTTTTTTTTTTTGGTGGGGGGTGTTTTTTTTTCTCAAAAAGTTCTTAGTGAAAAATGGCATTTCTGACCTTAGGTCTCTGGTTGGGACCCGGAAAGAAATGCGTATAAAACAGAAAACAAAGGAAATAACATTAATATTAGTAATAGCCGTAGTAACACTATAATCTTGTCTAAAAAAATATAAATGATTTTTAACGATATATGCAATCAAATGATTTAATAAGCTAATATCTGATGTCATACGGCTACAAACTTTTTAAACGTACTATTACAAGTAGTAAAAGTAGTTCTCGATGAGAAGTACCACTCTTCGGAGTAACAATAACAGTATAAAAATATTAACTTCTCTGTAGCAGTAGTTGTTATGGTGGCTGTCCTCTGGAGAGTAATAATAGTAGCAGAAGCAGCAGCAGTCATGTCGAAATAGTCCCAATCAGGGAAATACGATGCAGCAAGATTCTATGTTGGAGTAACCGGCTCTCCCCTCCCACCCTCTCCCGACAACAAGTTCACTGTATCTCGATTTGTGAAGATGAGACGGATGTTTAAGTTGTGCAATGATATAATTACAGTAAATGTTATCAGTGGAGAAAGTAACGCTAATATAAACTCACTTTGTAGAGCGTTGTAATTTTTTTTTTTTCACAGTAATTAATCAGTAGTCACATTTACTTGAAGAGAGTGCTACGCGCCACTTCGAAGCACCAAGGTTATTTTTGGCTTTCGTCCCGGTACGTGTATAAATATTTATTCGGTTGGGTATCAGGGATTTTACAACAACACAAGTGAACTGGTTGAAGCTGTAGTGTGATCAAGCATACTTTTCCTACAGTTACTTATTTTTCTGTAAGATTGTGGCCGGCAATAGTACATTTTTAAATATAGATATTT